AGAGAGAGAGAGAGAGAGAGAGAGAGAGAGAGAGAGAGAGAGAGAGAGAGAGAGAGAGAGAGAGAGAGAGAGAGAGAGGGAACAGGAGGGTTACTCACAGCTATCAAGCGAATCCAAATTGTCTCCGGGGTCAACACTGGCTTCTCCCTGGTCGTTGAACATCACTTCCGGAAGCCCAACAACTACAGTTTTCTTCGCTTCCAGCTGTTTGCGCCTTAGACTTCTACTTCTACCGCCAAATGTGAACGAGCATCGCACCTGGCTGCGCGCAAAGAATTCCCCATGGATAGCATCCATGATTACCTCCTCATGCTTCTCGATTGTGACTGTTCGTTTGCGCCTGGCACCCTTGACCTTGGATTTCCTCTTCCCTCCCCCTTTGCCAGACACACGGCCGGTTTCACCTCCTGCCCCGCTGCCGGCTGAGGCTCCGCAAACTCCACTGCCTCCACCTTTTGGTGTTGTAGCAGTGCTGCTTACCAACGATGCAGAGCGCACAGAGCTCGATCCGCGCACTGATGCCGACGAGGGTTGGGAAAGTGTCGATGACCGTCGCTTTACCCGCCGCGGCTTCTTTTTTTTCTTCCCTGATGGAACAGGAACGTGCACCTCACCCTCCATGGAGTACGACTCTACCGCCTTTCGGCTCCCGTTCGACATGCATCCCCCCATTCTTTCCTCAGCGAACGAAAAAAAAAAAATGATGCGACTTCCAACGTACACCTGTTTACAACATTCGACACAGTCCAAGCAAATTCACTGAAGTGCTCAGTGCGTCTACTCCTCTTCAGCAAGTCCTAATCAGTCGGTCAAACACTCCTCTTTCGTTTGTCTTCTTCGTACAACACTCTTTTTTTAAGTTTTTTCTGTTGAAAATAAACCCTTTCAAGGACTTTCAATGACTCCTACCAAATGAGTCGATCCCTCCTCGCTTGCCCCTCAAGCAAGCTCAGAGGCTGCGGCCAAGAATCATCCGGGCCAGCCGTTGCTCAAGCATGGGGGGAGAGAGAGAGAGAGAGAGAGAGAGAGAGAGAGAGAGAGAGAGAGAGAGAGAGAGAGAGAGAGAGAGAGAG